AAATACTATTCTTATACTATCTATTTGGTATAATGCTAATATGAAACTTCACTACACTTGAGTATAACATAACATGCCAAAATTAGTGGTTAGATTCAAATATCTATTTATCCGTATTTATCTAATTTGTGACTAAAGAAATAGATATGGATAAATTATTACACCTATTGTTATTCGTAATACAGATAATATCGTTAAATCCATTAGACAGATATATGACGAAATATAAAACAAATGTTCATGTAACTTTATTATTTATAAATAACAAAACAAAAAATACAAAATTATATTCAACAAAATAAGAAACAATTACAGATTATGACATTTTTTGGAAATATTCTGCCTGCTAAATTACAATTTTTTTTAAGAAAAAGCAAGTGCTCAAATGTAGAATTTGATAATTGGGTTCGCTTTACTGTCATCAAATTACCTGCATTGCTGAATAATCTTTCACTAGGTATTGATGTAGCAGGAGCCAGGAATACATAAATATACTTTTGTGAGAATTGATAATATTGGAAATCTTTTCTCATTCATTTCCACCACTCCAGAGGGCAATCATTAAACTGAATTTGTGGAATAGCTAAGTAATCTGCTACTTTGTAAATATATTTGTCAAAAGTGAATTGTCGTATATCTAATCATTATCTTTATTATTGTAATCATCATCTTCCTGATCAATATAATTTTCATAAATAGACCTAAGTTTTTTTTGTATCTGAACTTTCAAATGATCAGAAGCAAATTGTAATTCTTTATATCTTGGATCCAGTAATATGCCTATCATTGCATAATCATTTGGTACGTTCCAATAATGATTCATAGTTTTATACAAAGCATTTTGACATTTTTTTTTAGATCTTTACAATCTTGTGGTGTTTCAATATAAATTTTTCGATAATATTAACTGATTCTTTAGTTAAAGGACATATGTCTTGTTTGATAACTTGTAAAGCTTGATGTATAAAACTAATAGTAGTGTAAGTACTTCAGTAGCTTCTGCAAACTTTTTAAGAATATTTGTTAATTTTCTTAATGGTTTCCACTCTTCATCAACCAAATTAATTTCTTTTAATCTTTTACCATCCTTTCGTGCTTGTAGATTAGAATTAACACTGAGTGAACTTGCCATTATGTCAATAAGATTTTGAATTTTTAATAATCTTATCCAAGCCAGATAAGAAGAATTCCATCTGGTTGGTACATCTGAAATTATTCGCAAATAACTATCATTTTCCTCTAAATTCTATAAAAAAAAAAAGAAAAAATATAACTGTTTAATTAGACAATTTTACAGGATAATATAAAATCATAAAAAAAACTCAACTTTTACCTCTGTTTGTAAATGCCATTCTTTTTTTTGAATTTCTATTAGTTAATTTGAAAATTTGATATTTTGAATTTTTGTGAAATTATGCATATTTGTTGTTTACATTCCCCCTACTACTGATGGTGCTTTGCGCTCAGACACTATTGACTTGCTTATTCAACAACAAATAAACTGGGTTTTACCATGCTATTTGTGGTGATTTCAATATGCATTTAGATCAATTTTATCCTATTTATTTTAAACATGCTTACCATTTATTTAACCACCTCTTATTTCATAGTTATGAAGATTATACTCCTGTTAACCTTTCTGGCTCCTTAGGCACCTTTCACCGTAATGATGTATTGCTCTACTCTTACTTTTTGTATCTTTGATGCTCAAGATATCAGCACATCTGACCATAATCCTGTTATCACCTATTATGATATGTCTTTACATTTCGCCTCTACCAAATTGGCTCATGCTTGACAACTTAAATGTCGTACTCACCGTGTTTTCAAATTTGACAATGTTTCTGAATCTTAATGAAAAGAGTTCACTGATAACATTACCTTACTGTCCATTACAGTTGCCAACAACCATACTCCCAAGGTCCCTAAGGAATTGGAAACCTTAACTCAACATTATCGATTTCTTAATCATTTAATGCATTCAATACGTCTGTTGTGCAACATATTCTGCTGCTTATGAGCATAAGTGGTCTACTCATTTAATTAGACTTCAAAACATTCTTCAATTATATAAGAAAGTGTTTACTTTTATACCACCTTACCTTTATCCCTGTCATCATGCTGACTTGATGATTTTAAATCTTTTTTTGATTGTTTAACTAATATTTCAAAATTCAAAATCCATTCGTGGATTTCACCTCCTTAAAGAAAAATATAATGTGAATCCAGAGAGGGGACTAAAGGGGAATTGGCAAAAACAGCAGCAGCTGAAGATTCAATCGTGAGAGAAATAGGCAGAGCTTCAGGAGAATCCATAAGAGAATAAGAACGAACAAGTTTGTCAATATCAGCCCATGTAAGGAGTGAGGTCACTTTGGAAGTATCATGTTGGATTCGTTCATTGACAGTGGGAATGTATAAGAGAAACCTTCTGCGTGCAAAGAGTTAAGTCAGCTTTTCGTTTCTTAGAGAAGGGTATAGAAGTATGAGCAGCACAACCAGTGCATGGAGAAAGCTTTATATCACCTGGCGAAGAGACACAATAGGGAGAAATCCAATGTACAATGAAACAGGTACCACTACTAGGTTGTATGGAGAGTTGTTTGTCAAAAAGAGGGGAGCCAAAATCATCTAAAGTAACAATCCAGTTTTTGGTAGTCAGAGGGTTGAAATACAAGGAGCAAGATTGATGAGTGAAGCAGAGCTCATGGGTGGAGAGGGAATAATAAATTTATCGATCAAACGATTGTTAGAGTTGGGAATAGTAGTTTGTCTTTGGATGAAAGATGGATATGACCAGGACCACATCTTCCAACCAAATTATTATAATAAGCTTTCCAAGAAATTAAATGGGTGCCTTGCGGAGTAATAAGTTGTGACAAATAAAATAAGTGTCATTTATGCAGGATAGGATGGTAAGCTTTAAACGCTTTGGGTGTCATACAGTTGAATAAGGGGATGTGACCATCAAGCAGAGACAGAGTTGGTAGGTATGAAAGTTGAGTTTGAAGCAAACGGAAAGGAGTGGAGGCCAAGAGGGCAATAGTGCAAGCGATATAATCCTTTTTGAAAGAAGAAAGAGAAGACCATATAGACCATTTTTTAACAAAAACAAATATTGAATTACAGCAGATTGCAAAATTGTAAGGCCACCCTATGATTTTTTAATTTGAAAATTTGATATTTTGAATTTTTCAAAAACCAGTAAAAAATCAAGTTAAAAACCTGTTTATTCAACTCCTTAAATAAAAATAGAAATATATCATATGATTCAATATAAATAAATTACTTTAAAATCTATATTAATTTTAAGGAGTTAAAGTTATTACCAAAATAGGTATTTAAACTTGCTTTTTTACTAATTCTTGAAAAATTCAGTAGTCTTACAATTTTGCAATCTGCTGTAAACGCAATCTATAGCCCTGTTCATTTCTAGATTGGATCAGATTGACCAAAAAATAGTGTAACTAATCAAACTGCAGTTATAATTGAGCACATTTTTGATCGATCAGATTGATTGTAATAGATATGATTAGTGTCACCGACTTCTTTTCTTTTACTGTTACAATATGAATTGTAAAGAAAGACTTTATAAGTTGTTATGGTTACAAATATTTTAGGAGACGAACATGAAGAAAAAGAAGAGGAAAATTCAAGTGATGAAGAGGATAATATCATTTTACAAACAGTTTTAATAAAATGAATAAATACATGGTATTTAGAACCAAGATTATACCGCGTAGTGAAGTCAAAGCATTGGTGGCAAAATGTTCTTCCATTTTATGATATTACTCGATTTAAAAAAATTTTAAGAATGCATCAATTCCATCATGTATTTTCATAAACCTCAAGCTTGTGTTGAATTTCAGTTAGCTGTATTTCTTTGTCAACTTGGATCTACTGGAAGTTTGTTTGAAGTTTGTTTAAGATTTGGAAATAGGAGAAGGGATGGTAATTCTTTATACTAAATGAGTTATTCAAGCAATTTTAGCAAAAAAAATAGGTTTGTTAAGTGGCCTATTTCAGAAGAGCGTAAAAAAGTTAATGAAGGATTTGAAAATTTAGGAGGGCTTAAAAATGTAATTGGAACAGTTGATGGAACCTATATTTCTATGAGAAATGCTCCAAATAAAGATCCAGAGGTTTACTTTACTAGGAAAAAACGCTATGCTATTTACTGTCATGGTATTGTAAATGATAGAGGCATTTTTATTAGTTTAGTACATGATCCGAGTTTATAGAAATTCTTCTTTTTATAAAGATTATTCTCATCTTATTCAAGATGATGATAATCTTTTAGGTGATTCAGCTTATCCTATTTCTCCTTTCTTAATCCCACCTTTTAAAGATACATCTTCTCGAAAATACAAAAAATTTAATCAATTCCATTCACGTCATCAAGTTGTAATAGAAAATGCCTTCGGGAGATTAAAAGCAAGATCTAAAACGTTAAGGGATCTTGATATTAAAATGGTTAAGATGGAAGTATTATTTACATGTTGTGCAATAATTTTACATAACTTTTTAGATATTTGGGAGGGTGATTTCAATGATAATATAGAAGAAGATGATAATGACAAAAATGATAATTATACATTAAGGAATAATGATGAGGTATTAAAAAGAACTGGGCAGGCTAAAAAAAACTTAATCTTTCATCAACATTTTTCATAAATAATATATTATGCATATTTTAAAAGATATTTTCATCAAATATATGATTTAAATTTTAAGTTTATTGAATTTTTTAAAAAATACAATACATGTTGAATTCTTAAATAAAAAATTTGCAGCAAAATGTTTTGTTATTCACAAATTTATTGTTAAATCCATTATTATTATTATATTATTACCTATTATATTATATTACCATTATTATTATTATGATTATTGTTATTACTATTATTATTGCTATTGTTATTATTACTACTACTTATTAACGTTAAATTGCAATAATTCTAAAGATGATTTATATTGCAACATTCTTAAATCCAATTCTTTCATTCTTCCTTTTCAACTACTTGCTTCTTTTCAAACTGGTCATTCTCAGAGGCAAGTCGTTTTTCCCAAATTATTTGTCTTGCATTACTCATAGAAATTATGGCTTCGGCTAATGGATCCTGTGAAAGAGATTTTCGTTTTTTAGTAATTTGATTATCTTTTTTTTCTGCCAAAACTTCTTCATTAGTTTCTGTTTCTTTTTCTTTAAAACTGTCAAACAATTGAACATCATCAGAAAATCCATCTACTAAAAATCCCGGATTGTGATTTTCATGAGTTTCAAACAAAGCATCAAGTCTGTCAAACCATTTCCTGTTTTGTTCTCCTTTTCTTTAATTTCATTATACTTAGTCACAAGACGAGATAATTTATTTTTAATCTGCTCTACAACTTTCCTGAAAAAATCTTAGTAGCAGCTGTTTTGGCAAAATTGGACTTATTTTTTTTGTAAATATCAAAATTATCTTCAAGAAAACTTATCAATAATCCAGTATTTGTATCATCCCAGCCAGTTTCTTCTTCAACAGAACTTGCTCTTTCTGTTTTTTGGCCATTATTCTTTTTAGAAACTTTAGTGATTACAGGTGTTGAAACATCAGTAGTAGGTACCGTCACTTCTTGAATTTCTGATGGAGTAAATGTTAATACAGCTATAACATCAGGGTCCTGTACAGGTGTTTGTGGTTTAGGAGCAATTGGACGAAGAGTAGATTTTGGAATAGGCATGGTAAAAGTTAGAACTTCAAAAAGTTTAAGGCAAAAAACATGCAGACTCTAGACGCGTCATTTATTATATAGATTGCGATCAGGGAAAAACACCAATTTTTGTAGATCGGTATGACTGACCGCTGACCACATCAGCAACCAATTATTTAAGGGTGTAAAATTTTGATCAATCCGGTCAAATCTAGAATTGAACAGGGCTTATAAATAAAAAGAGATTGAATAAAAGAAGAAGATGAATTAGCCAATAAAAATAAATTAGTTATCAAATAAATTGATTAATCCCAAAGCTTGAGACAAATATAAAATAGGTTAGGTAGAGAACAAGAAAAATTGGCCTTATATTTAACAGCAGAACGTATACTTTTCATTGCAGTATAACATTCAGATTCTGAGAGGTCAAGTTTGGTATAAGAACGGTATTATGCAAGTATACAACTTGTTTGGCAGAAAGTTTTGCAGGTCGAATGGTGAGTTACATTCGCGTTTGATTTGTTTTTTAACAAAATCGCGGAAGCCTTTAATATTAAACCAGACACCTAAAAAGCAAAAGGAAGTGGTCATAGGGATCAGGATAATAGAAATAGAAGGAACTCTATTCAAAAAGGATAAAGCCAAATCAAAAGTGATAGGAGAAGGAGTAGAGACTGAAGTAAGAAACAAAGAGTTAGTGATATGGTGACGAGTACAAGAAAGAGCTGAATCAATAAAAGAAGAGAGATCAGTTTCAAAGTTATTATTCCTATCATCCAGATGGCACGAATGGTCTCTCATCAACTTAGGTAATCCTGATGTTTCTATGGGCTGGTCTTGGATGCAAATCATTCCCAATGCTTCTCATGCTGAAGCTGCTGCTATTTATGCAGCCTTAACAGTCTCGCCTTGTGATTCAGAAGTCACTATTTATACTGACTCACAGACCGCTATTGATGGTCTTTATGGCTGTTCTTCTTCATTTTATTCTAATAGTCGCCTTTATTATAAGACCACCAATTTTGAACTTTGGGCTAACCATCCATTCCAAGAACTTGGTTGTCCTCCCAATCAAAGTCAAAGCCCATTCCAATAATTATTTGAACGATTTTGCCGATTCTTTGGCCAACATTACTCATACCTCATCTTCTAGCATCCTTATCTTTGGCTTGGATTTTGCCTCAGCTCATGACTTTGTTCTGACTTATGACAATGACATTGTTTGTGAATGATTATATAGCAAATTACGTGATGGTTATGTACTCAATTGAGTTATGTAATCACAATCCTGCAACATGACTACGCATATATAATTTGTAATAACGTAGGCGTGTTTTTTTTTTATTAATTATTACTATATGATAATATTTTATTTATTTTTTTAAGATAAATATACGCATGATGATATGAAAATAGTGAATTTTTTACATTTTTTTCTTATCATAATAGTAACTTATTTTTCTTCTTTTTAGGCGACTCCAAAACTAATTTGATGATGAACGGGTTTTTCCCCTTGGAATTGAAGTTGAGCAAGACTTTTTTTCTTTTTCATTTTCGATTTTATTAGACTGCTAATTTATATTTTCTTTTATTAAAGTATTCCTAAATTTAATACAAAAAATAGAGTCTTTTCCAAAATACTACATTTACTATCATTTAACTTAGACACAAAAAGATTTTTGGTGGCACTTATCTGTTATAGTCATCCTTCCATATAGTCACCCCTGTATAATTGCAACTCCCTTATAAGCACATTTACATTAATCCCAAGTTACTAATAAACTTATTAAAAAAACCTTCCCTTTAATCACATCATATATAATTTTTATAGTCACACCATTTTTTTGGTCCCGAAGGGTGTGATTATATGGGAGGATGACTGTATATTTAACTAAGATGAATTTTAAGAAACATGTTTTTTAAGAACATATTACTTTTTCACTCTAATAGAAATTAAACTTCATTGCCCTTCCCTTAATCCTTTCTCTTTTCATGCTATTTCTAATTTTTTTAATTGGTTTATCCAATTTTTTTCTTTCTAATTCTTCCTTACGTTCTTCGATTTCTAACTCTTGAATTTGTTGTTGAAATTCATCATTTTTAACACCCTTAACATTACCTTTTTGCCGTTTATTCTGTGACTTTAGAAGCGAAGTAGTTTTTTGTTTTTCTAAATTAATTCGTGATCCATCTCTAAACCAGTGAAATCTACTAACACATTTTGGGGAATTATTTTGCAAATTAATTAATGTAAGTTTGGTAACTTCCTTTAAGAAATATTACTAATATTTCATTTTTATTATAGGTAATTTGTTAGGAAAACAAAATAATATTATTCAATTACTGCGATTTCACTCATTTTTCATGTAAATAATAAATTTTATAATAAATATTTAAATTTATTACTTTTGGTAAATTCAATCTTTTGATAATCATAATTATATAAACACTCTTAACTAATAAATGCATAAAAATCTTTTCAGTTAACTTTTATAGAAACTGGATCAATGTTTATAACCATGTTTATAATTATCCTTTATAACCAAAATTTTATTTTTTCGTCACGTATATTACATTCAAATCTTAACAAAATTCGAAAAAATCATTTATTTTCATAACAATAAACTTAAGTTACTACAATCAATAATGTCTAATTTAGCTGAATCTATCAATATTAGTTCTGAATTAGAGGTAATTTCTTTAAATTTTATTTAAATTTTATAACAAAAAATCAAAATTTTCTATACTATTTTAGGAGGAAGAACGAAGTTCTTTGTTATCACAAGAGTTAATAATGAAGAAAAATTGGAGAATACTTTGGCTTTAATTAGTTCTGTATATCACATTACAGATATTTGTTATTCCTTATTTTTCATTGAATATCCCGATACTTCAGATGATGGAATTGCATATGTTTTTCATGTTGAAAATTGGACTGACAAAAAGGCTGTATTTAATAATGTAAAGGATTTTATTTTTCAATCATTTATTTTTTAATAGCTAATAAAATATTAAATTAATTTTTAATTTTTAATTTTTATTTAAGATCCAATATGGTCTTGGTAAACCTGGTGGTGCACACTCTAATATTTTTTGTCCATTTTTAGGAGTGCAATGTAAAGATAATAAGAAATCATGTCAAGGCGTGAAGATTTGTAAAATTGCTAAACCTGAATTTAAAGATGTAACTCATTCTACAGTAGATCTTAACATGGATTTATCTTCAAAAAATTCCAGCTTCTTGATTATATCTTCTTCACATCAAATCCGATTCAATATTTATGAAATAATAATTTATTTTTTTTTCAATTTAAGAGAATAGCTTGCTGCCATCAATTCTAAATGTTGTTATAATCATAAAACTAATAGAAGTAATGTTAATCAATACTTCATTGGTTGTAGTGCATATGTATTTGGCACACGTCATCGATATATTAGTGAAAAACCCAATGTTGATGAAAATCTTAAATTTTTGTTACATTTTGATTCATATTCTTATCTTTATTTATTTAGGATGATAAAAATTGTTTACAAAAACAAAAATGTCATAAGTATTCAATTACATCATTAAGAAAAATCAATTTTATATAATATTTTTTCTTATTTTTTTTATATAGCAATTCCTTACATCATAGATGGAAAAGTTGAATTATTACCACTTGTAAAAACTGGGTGTAATGTTATATTTCATAAATATGAATCATTGGATTTAGAATCATGCCCTTATATAGTTATGGTTGTAAAAAATACTCATTCACATCCACCTTCACCACCTCATCGAACACCAAATCACTTACAGCAAGATTTGAAAAGTTTAATTGAAAACTCTAATGATCTTTTAATTGATTTTATTTCACGAAGGTTAATTTCTGGTAATAAATAATAATTATATTTTTATTACATTATTTTTATTTTTGAGCTTTATTAATGCTAACTTTAATTTCAAATAAATATAGGTCCATTGATAAAAGCAGTTTTTGGTGATACTGTTTTAGCAGATGTTCATGCCTCAATGAATAATATTGGTAAGCTTCGTAATATTATAATGAGAGAACAGAAATTATTACATCCATATGGACAAGGTATAATGGGAGTAGTTCATGCTTTTAATCAAAATGAATCAAATTTACGTGATTATATTCAAAGGATTAGTAAGTACTTTAATTTTAAAAATAAACTTTTTAAATATTTTTAATTTAATGTAATTATTATTATTTTTTAGTATTTATGGATGATGGACATATTATGATATTATGTGTGTTTAAATTACAAGCTGAACATATGTCAAAATTTAAATATTTTATGGTGGATATGTCCTATAAGCGTGTATTTGGAGAAATTGATGAACTTGAATTTAATGCCTATGACGAAAATAATAATAGTGGTAAGTAGAACTGTAGAAGTTTAAATTTTAAATTATTAATTTTAGTTTACTATTAACTAAACAATTTCTTTTATTAGTTGTAACTTTTTGTAGGATATATTCAAATGGAAGTAATGCTAAGGCTTATCAATACATGTTTACAGCTTTCTTTGAAGTTTATGAAGATTTAACAGTAGAAAAGCCAACTTTTTATTATTTCAATTCAGAAAACTCTGAAAAAAAAGGATGGGCTGCTATTATTGTTGATTTGGATAAAGGTCAAGCAAGCTAAAGAATTATCTTTAGCTTTAAATTCCTTATATAATTCTTTAAGCCCAGAACAGCATTTACTTTCTGTTTTAAAATCATGTTTAATTCATTTTGAAAGGTAAACAAATTATAATTAGTTTATTTATGAATAATTATTAATGGGTATTGCTAAATCTCACCGGTGGTGATTTTTACCAGCGGTGATTTTCACCGTTATTAATGTTGGCAGAAATTATGATTTAGCCAGAATTATAAAAAATTTTTTTGCAAATTTTTACTGAGAAAAAAAATTAAATGTAAGTAGTTTTTTTAAATATTGAACATGGTTTACTTAATAAAAAAACTTAATTTATTTGACCAAAGTAAGAAAATTACACTTTAAATTTAATAGACAGAAAAAAAAAATTTGAAAGTTAATACTATTATGAGAAATGCAATTTTTTCCAAAAGTATTACATTTACACTCATGAAATTTGATACACAACTAGTTTTAATCTTGCTAAACAACGATTTCATTTGACCAAAGTGGTGAAATTACTCTCTGAAGTTCACAAACGGAAAAAAAAAATTCGAAAGTTAGTACCGTTATGAAAAATGTGATTTTTTTCACAAGTATTATACTTACATCCATGAAATTTTATATACAACTAGTTTCGACCTCGCTGAACAACTTTCAATTAATGAAGAAAGACGATTTCATTTGACTAAAGTGGTGAAATTACGCTCTGAAGTTCACAAACGAAAAAAAAAATTCGAAAGTTAGTACCGTTATGAAAAACGTGATTTGCTCCACAAGTATTAAACTTACACTCATAAAATTTGATATACAACTAGTTTCAACCTCGCTGAACAACTTTCACTTAATAAAGAAAGCTGATTTCATTTGACTAAAGTGTTGAAATTACGCTTTGAAGTTGGTAAACAGAAAAACAAATATTTAAATGTGTTTTTTTTTTCATAAATATTATATCTAACTTTATGAAATTGAAATATACTCCTATGGGT